GGTGGATCAGAGCCCCCCCACACCCCACCCCCCTCAGCGGGGGTTCCAATCTACCTGTCTCACCTTCCAGCTCTGACTGAAAAAACCCCAGACCAAGCTCCCTCTTCTCCCTTTCTCCACCCATTCTGAAAACAGTGACAGGCTGAGAGCTCCACAGACACAAGTTACAGAATGCACTGTGTTTTGCAGCATGTTCATCTGAACCCTCATGCAATGAGAGTTTAGATTTTCAAGGGATCAGACCCCTTTAAAGCAGTTGGCAGCCATGCACTTCTGTTTGGTCAAGGATGTAGACCACTTTCTGGGGCCAGATCAGGTGAAAATTGTCACTTCTGTCTGCCCCCAGTGGGCATGTCTACACGAGATGCTTATTGCACAGTAGCCTAATAACACTGCTAGTAGCATGCTGGCCAGAAACCATGATAATAACCTACTGCACAGTATTATTAGGCTACTGCATAGTAACTCACGGAAAAACTGTACTCCAGTAATACTGTGCACTAACTGTAGTTACTGCACATTTAGTTAGCACTTCATTACGCAAGTACTAAACTAAATGCACAGTAACTACTGCTCATTAATGAACATGTAGACACATTCACTGGGTGCCTTTTGCCTGAAGCAGCAGATGAGCTGGCTCAGGGCAAGTGAACTGCTGCATACAGTCTGTAGTTTCCTAATGAGGCTTGTGGTATGGAAACAACACTTTATGATTTACAGGTACTTATATAAAGAACTGTTTACAGGAAAGAAGTAACAGTCTTGCTACTGCCTGCCCTTGCAAGGGTCTGAGGCCTAGCCTTGTTGCTGTCCTGCCACACTAAGAAGTTAGTGCTCTCTCACCCAGATTATCTCCTGAGATACTACTTCCTGGACATTCTGTCTTTCTAGGAGGATTTACTGTGTGTCACACAGGCAGCCATGACTATGGAAAAATCTTTTTTTCTATCTTCTGCCTTCCAAAAACAAGGCACATGGCGTGCTTGAGGAAGTGTGGTATGCAAGAAAATATGAGTATATGTGTACCAATGCAACAGTCAAAGGTCCCTATTTTGTACTAGTAAAATGATTTTGGAGCGGGACTGGATTATGAAATAGCATCAGGAATGTATCCTTCATTATGAAGTTATTTAAAAAAAAATGTGCTGGGAACCAGTCGGGGGAAAGATATTTCATTATTTATAGCCAAGCTGTGTGGTACCTATCCTGACAGACTGGCAGGAGCATAACCCACATTTTCTGTGCACATAGGTAATTTTAGAAACTGCCCCTCAGTTTTGATCATCTGACTCAGCTATCTTAGAGTTTTTGCTCAATGCAGCATCTTGAGAAGGAGCCAGTTTCATACAGTTTCTATTATGATGAGTATTAAATAAAACTTACAGATTGCATTGCATGATATAACCCAGGGCCCTATATAGCCCTTTTGACTTCAGAGACAGAAGAATGTATCATTTGAATATTGGAAAATATATACTAAGCTTCAGCAGAACATTTGTTGCTCATATTTCATTAAGTAATTAAAGCAATTGCTATGTTCAATCCCTTTGTTGGAATTAAGTCCTGCTTTTAAGCAGCATAGTTATATTGAGTGATAAGGAGTAATCTGTTTACATCTGTTCCATCAAAATGGTAAATCTCATCAAAGCTTTCTTTTTTATTTTTAATAAACCCACCTTGGGAGAAGCAGGATATATGATTAATACACACGTTTAATTGATGGTGTATTATAGAGCTGTATTTTTTCTGCCAACAAAGTTCTAAAGATCATCTCCAGGAATTGGAAGTAATGAAATTTCCAAAATAATAAACTACATATCAGTTTCTGTCTGACAACTATGTTTCTCTTTTAATTAAAAGGTGTTTCTTTTAATTAAAAAGGTATATTTAAAAAATGTTTGGCCATTTTCACGATAGATATATGGTGGGTGCATTACCACTAGTGGAATGTGCTACTTGTGGCAGCAGCATATTTGGGAAGTTTCCTAAAATTCTGAAGAAGAATCAGACTTGTGCACAACCTTCAAAAGTAAAGAATTAGAATTTGTATGTTCTGCACAAGTTTCTGAAGATACACAAAGTGAGAGATCATCACCAAAGGGTGATATCTTGAAAATAATGGGCGTCTATACATGTGCTCCAAGGTGGGGGTGATTAATTAGAGCGGCTCTAAGAGCACCAGCAATGTCTTGTGTATTTAGTGTCCCGTGCTTCAAAATAGCGGCACGGGCATTTTAACTAAGGCTTGTTCAACAAGTTTTAGTTGAAGCTCCCGACCCCTCCGCTGCCATTTTGAAATGCAGGGATGCTGTATATATGTGATGCGGAGGCTGCCGGAGCACACTAATCAGCACGCTTCAGCAGTCTTGCGGCAGACTCAATTAATCAAGTCTGCTCTGAAGTGCTAATTAGCACATTTTGGAGCAAAGCTTCATCGTGTATAGGTGCCCAGTGTACTTTCATATTAGACAAACTTCCATTAAAATTTTTGTTGTAAACTCTTACTTCGAAGCAGATTTTTTCCCTA